CTTATGACAGAAGACTCCAAAGCATATTATTTAAGATTTCTTATTTAAAATTAGCATAATAAAGGCCAAAGGAACAAAATTCATTCTCACATTCCTCCATTGTTCTCAGTACGCTGTACTTGCAGTAAATCTGGCACAAGGCATAAAGTTTTGTAAGCATCTTATCAGACATAACTATAACTGGTCGGTTTCCATGTAAACTAAATGTTTTGTTTTACTTCAGTAACTAAGGCTTGGTTGCTTATTCTAATATGGGATCTTTATGTGTTTAAAGTGTTACAGAAGTTTTATTGCTAAATACATAAAAGAACAAATCAGTAAGTAAATAAGTAAGAGCCACATGCACTCAGAGTATGTTATCTCTTTTATCCATCATCCGAAATACAATCATGAGACTGGTACATTAATATTCGCAAAGGAGGTTCCACAGTTTTTGGATATTATATTACCCCAGAAATCACATCTTAATGATTTAAGCATCCGGTTTGTACCACTTATGACTTTCTGACATTGTGCATTCAAGTCAACAAGTTGTGTGCATGTGTGTGTTTATTTTATATATATTGAGACCCAGCCAGTTTACAATGTGGAAATCATTTGGATGAGATCTTAAACCAGGGCTACTCAACTTTGGAAGCCCCGGGGGCCACGATACTCACAGCACATGCAGAGGGCCTCAATTTAAGTGTGGTTGCATTCACATGCAAATATATGCAAATAAGCTTCTTTCATACGGATGGGCATGAATACAAAGCACTTCCCACAATGCCCCAGAGCTCCTGGCACCTCCTCCCTGTACTCATTTCTTCCAGCCAACCCGTCCATTTGTGTCTTTCAATTCTCACCCCGCCTGGGAGACGTCTCGCCATTGTGGAGCGTCACCAGTGGAGGCCATGTTCAAAGGATCCCACCTGCAGGCCATGTGTTGAGTAGCCCTGCTTTAAACCCAAGGTTCTGTCTGCTCTGAATGAACATCAAGGATCCTCATTCCTTCCATAAGAAGAGAGATTTGCCTTTGTGTTCTTATGTAGTAGGCTACAGCCATCTCTCCAAGGATCATCTGCATTTCAGTGACACTGTACATGGACAGTTTATGAAGCAGTTAGATTATCCTTTCATCTTGCTGGACCCCCATATACACACAACTCTTAAAACATAGATGGGAGGGCAGCAAGTTCAGTTTTTAAGGTCACAGTTCCCCTTTCAGTTACCCACCAGCATTACGGGAATTTAAATGTGAAGCAACCTCCCCCTCTGATTTAAAGATTGATATCAACAATGCCACAATATTCTAATCTCCACACAGTCCACAAAAAGTCTCAAGGTTTCAATCACAGTTTCTCACATGATTTTGCTCTGCATAACTAGGTGATTTAATGCAGTTCTACTACCACAACAGATTTTTTTCCCCTTAGGAACAAAAAAGTTTTGGTCTTTACTATAAACTTGAGTGACATGTCTTAAAAGTGTAGCCAAAGCCTATGTTGCTGTGACAGCAGAGAAAGACATAAGTTAGTATTGCAAGCTGAATCCATACATGGATGGGGGGGAGGAGAGGATAATTCCAAATTACCTTTATATTTGCTCTGAATTAAAATAGCATCAGGAGTTATTAGCATTTAGCAACTGTCTTTTCAAGCAGTCATATGTGATCAAGAGCCAAAAGAGAAAGATCAGCATTAGTAATTGTAATGACATCTGTTTGTCATGTACAGTGTTGTTATAGTCATGTTGGTCACAGGATATTAGACACACATCTGGTAGGTGAAGTAATATCCTTTATTGGATTAACGCCTGTTGATGATAGGGACAAGCCTTCAAGATTGCAGAGAGCTGAAGAAGAGCTCTATGTAACATTCCCACTAACAGAAGTTGGTCCAATAAAAGATATTTCCTCACCTACATTATCTGTTGTCAGATTTTCAAAAAAGTGTGTTTCAGGTAATATATTTATAGATTTCAGAAACTAAGCAAAATGTCTTCTCCCCTTTCTAATACAGACAGATGGATAGATAGGCACACATTTCAAAAATATGTAGTAAGATAATCACTGGATTTACAAACATGCCTACTCAATCAATCTGAGTAAGGCTAAGTTTACACTGGCACTTTAGAGCACTCTAAATCAGGGGTTGGGAACCTTTTTTGGAGTTGAGGTCTGCTGACCCACACACAAAGTGGCTCCCACACCAGAGCTGGGGGGGGGAGCCCAGCCTAGTAGATTTTGTGTACTCCAACCCCATGGGGGGCCAGGAGCACTGGCACGAGCTCCCCAATACTGGGAGGAGGGGCAGAGCTTCTGGGGTCAGAACCAGGTAAGCTGGGGGCAAGGATGAGAGTTTCCCCACCCCTGCTTTAAGTGATCCATCCACTCCATTGTTCATTCCCAGTTTCTGACAAACAGGCAAGACACCATTTCTGCCCATCCTGGGTAAGAGTCATTGATGGACTTATCCTCCATGAACTTATTTGGCTCTTTTTTGAACCTTGTTACAGTCTTGGACTTCACAACATCACAGACAAGTTGTGTAACAGGTTGACTGTGTGTTGAATAAAGAAGTACTCCCTCTTGTTTGGTTTAAACCCGCTACTTATTAATTTTATTTTGTGACCCGTAATTCTTGTTATGGGAAGGAGTAAATAACTCCTTTGTTCACTTTTTCAATACCAATCATGATTTTATAGACCTCTACCATATCCCCCCTTAATCATCTCTTTTCAAAGTCCCAATCTTATTAATCTCTGCTCATATGGCAGTCATTTCATACCCCTAATAATTTTTGTTGCCCTTTTCTGAACTTTTTCCAAGATACTTTTTTTAGGTGAGGCAACCACATCTGCACACAGTATTAAAGATATGGGCATACCATGGATTTATACAGAGGCAATAAGGTATTTGCTGTCTTATTCTCTAGCCCTTTCTCAATGATTCCTAACAATCTGTTTACTTTTTTGACTGCTGCTGTATATTGAGTGGCTGTTTTCAGAGAACTATCCATGACAACTCCAAGATCTCTCTTCAGCAGTAATAACTATGTTAGTCCCCACTGTTTTATACATATAGTTGGGATCATTTGCAGTATGAGTTACTATGAATTTTAATGTTGGTAAATGCACATGACATTTTGCTGCCCAGTCACCTAGTTTTGGGAGATCCTTTTGAAATTCTTCAGTCTGTTTTGCTCTTAACTTACTTGAGCAGTTTAGCATCATCTGAAAATTTTGCCACCTCGCTGTTTCCCCTTTCTCCAGATCATTTCTAAATGCTGAATAAGATTGGTGCCAGGGGGACACCACTATTTACCTCTCTTCCTTCTAACAACTTATTTATTCCTACTCTTTGTTTCCTAACTTTTAACTATTTATCAGTCCATGAGAGGACCTTCCCTCTTATCCCGTGACATCTTACTTTGCTTAAGAGCCTTTGGTGAAAGATCATGTCAAAGGCATCCTGGAAATCTAAGTACACTACAGCCACTGGATTCTTGTCCACATGCTTGTTGGTCCCCTCAAAAAATTCTAGTAGATTGGCGAGGCATGATTTCCCTCTGTTGATTTTTCTTCAACAAATTATGTTCATCTATTGTCTGACACTTCTGTTCTTTAATCTGCCCAGTACTGAAGTTTGACTTACTGATGAAATTGCCAGGATCACCTATAGAGCCCTTTTAAAAAATTGGTATCACATTAGCTATCTTCCCATCATTTGGTACAGAAGATGATTTAAATAATAGGTTACAAACAAGTTAGTAGTTCCACAATTTCACATGAGTTCTTTCAGAACTCTTGGATGAATGTCATCTGGTCCTAGTTTATCAATTTGTTCCCAAACCTCCTGTAACGACACCTCGCTCTGCGACAATTCTTCAGATTTGTCACCTAAAAAGAATGGCTCCAGTTTGGGAATCTCCCTCACGTCTTCAGCTGTCAAGACTAATGCATTTAATTTAGTTTCTCTGCATTGGCCTTATCGTTCTTGTGTGTTCCTTAAGCATCTCGATCATCCAGTGACCTCACTGGTTGTTTAGCAGGCAACTTACTAAAGTACTTACAATTTTTTTTTGCTATTAAATTTTAACTAGCTGTTCTTCAGATTCCTTTTTGGCCTTCCTAATTATATTTTTACACTTTGTTTGCTAGAGTTTATACTCCTATTTTCCTCACTAGGATTTAACTTCCACTTTTTAAAAAAATGCCTTTTTCTCTCTCTCTCTGCTTCTTTTACTTGCTTGTTAAGCTATGGTGGCACTTTTCTGGTTCTCTTAGTATATTTTTTTAATTTAGGGAATATACTTAAGTTGAGCTTCTATTATGGTGTCTTTGAAAATTTTCCATTAAGCTTGTGAGAATTTCAGTTTCAGCACTGTACCTTTTAATTTCTGCTTATCCGTCTCATTTTTATGTAGTACCCATTTCTGAAATTAAATGTTATGGCAGTGGGCTGCTATGGTGTTTTTTTCCTGCCACAGGCTGTTAAATTTAATTATATTATGGTTGCTATTTCCAAATAGTCCAGATATAGTCACCTCAGACTGGATCCTGTGCTCCACTTGGGACTAAATCAAGCATTGCCTCTCCTTTTGTGAATACCAGAACCAGCTTCTCCAAAAAGCAATCATTTAAGGTGTCAAGAAATTTTATCTCTGTATCCCATGCTGAGGTGTCATGTACTCAATGTGAGGATAGTTTAGCTCCACCGTTATTATTTTTTCATTTTTATAGACTAATCTCCCTTACCATTTCACAGTCACCATCACCATCCTAGTCAAGTGGTTAGTAATATATTCCTACTGATATATTCATATTACTGGAGCATGGAATTACTAACCATAGAGATTCATTCTATGGAACAATTTCATTCATTTAAAATGTCATGTCATTTGAAGTGATTTTGCTTCATTTGGGATGATCATTTATTCCAAGTTAGTAATTTTGGGGGGCAGGACGGGCATTCTGTTCACTATGTGTTACCTGCAAAACAAGGTTCAGAGTGGAAGGCATTTGCTGTGAACTAGACAAAATGTGGCAGTAAACTACCTGATCCCCAACAAATCTGTTACTGAGTAATGCAGTAGTTTACAATTCTGTGATGTTCTGCTCAGGACAGCCAGTTGTATCCCAGAATATAAATATATGTTATGGTATTTTCTTATGTAATCAGATTATCACATGTAATAGTAATTAGAGGCAGACTGCAGGGTATCAGAATTTTGTAACAGGGTATGTGCTAGGGATGTAAGCCACTAGTCGATTATCAGACTCAGAGATAGTCAACTGGGGACACAACTAGTCATTTCCCCTATCACTGTTTGAGTCCCCCACTGGCCCTACACTCCTGGCAGCAATTTGCTTTTGAAATGTACAAGAGCCCAGGAGGGCTTTTGTCCTTTAACCAGACAAAAAGATTAAAGGACTGACTGGAAACAGACTAAACTAGTCTTTCTAGCAATGGCTTTCTAGGTCAGTTCTGAGGCACAGTAGAATTAGTAAGGGAAGGACACATTTGTGCCCCTGTCTCTGCGATATTCGGGGGGGAGGGGTAGGGTGTGTGTGTGTGCGTGCGTGTGAAGGATCTCACTCTCAAGAGTTGTCTCAAGTTTTTTTTACAAGAGTACCATTCAGAAAGGGATGGGAATAACAGATGAAAAAGTAAGTGAGAATGCAGTGTCAACCCATGGAACTCCTTGCCAGAGGATGTGAAGGGCAGGGCTTTAACAGGGTTCCAAAAAGAGCTAGATAGACTCATGAAGGTTAGGTCCATCAATGACGATTAGCCAGGACGGGATAGAATGGTGTCCCTGGCCTCTGTTTGCCAGAAGCTGGGAATGGGATGGCTCAGCCCGATTGCCTCTTCTGTTTATACCTTCTGAAACACCTGGCCTTTGCCACTGTTGGAAGACAGGATACAGGGCTAGAAGGACCTTTGGTCTGAGCCAGGGTGGCCATTCTGATGTTCTTATTGTAGAGCAGAAATGTATCTTCCCCCTGCTATTACCCACTAGACCCCACTCCCCTTCCAGAGCTGAGGTAAAGCCTGGAGTCCTGATGGGGGTCTTTCCCTCGCCACAGAATTAGTAACAAAGTAAGATTATACATTAACATTTTAAGGCTAACTAGTGTCCCTTAAGTGACTTGCCACAAGATGTCAGACTATATTAGTGTTAGAGCTGAGTGGGTCTAATATTTATTTAATGTTCTTTATTTTATATAGGAATTACATACAGTGTTCCTGCCAGCTAACTGCTAAGTTGTCTGCCAAAAGAATTAGAATATTCCATTGCCTTAGTAGCCCCTACATAGAGGTCATGTGAGTGTGGGATGGCAGATGGGATCAGTCCCCCACAATTTCGCGGTGGGCTCTCCCAGCGGCTCGCGGGCGCCCGGCACAGCTGGACAGGCGCCACTGGCCCGCTCCATAGCCTGCTATGCGGTTTGTTTACCAGCCCCCCTTCTTCCCCCGCTCAGCGACCAGCCGACTCAGAGCTAGGAGCGGGTGCATCCTGGGAATCGAGGTTTTCTTTCCCCGCGGCAGCCTCCTTAGCCCGTGCAGGTTTCTAGGCCAGAGAACCACAACTCCCATGAGGCCAGGCGCAGCGCGGAACGCTCAGTGGCGCGGTGCACCCCGGTAGTGGTAGTTTTGGACAAGCCCGGGGTGCTCATAGGTTAGGAGGAAGAGCCGCCCACATGAAAACTACATTTCCCAAAAGGCATTGAAAGGAGACGTCCCACGCCGGGCTTGCGGGCCTGAACCGGACAAACCGCGTGTCGTGTTGGCAAACTTTATCCAACTCAGAGGTCTGATAGGTAATGGGGAGAAAATGTAAGCGATACAGCAGCACGGGAGTGCTTATAAAATTGGCAGATGACACCGAAGCAGGGAGGGGTTGCGAGCACTTCGGAATACAGGGTTAGACATCAAAGGAGCCTTGAGAAATGATGAGAGAAGAAATTCAATAAAGCCAGGGCTGGCCCTACCAGGAGGCGAACTGAGGCGCGGCTGCCTCAGGTGCCAGACTGTGGGGGAGGGGGATGCCACTAGGACCCAGAGTGTAGAAAATTGTGTCTGCTGCTGGTGCATATGTAGGGAGCAGAGCAGTACCATGAGAGGAGTAGAACAGGAAGAAGGCAGAATTAAGACCTTCCAAAGTTTTGGCCCAAGCAAGGGGGCACAGGGGTATCATTTGAGCTCCTGGTCTCAATTGCCAAATGTTGTGGGCCAGCCCTGAATAAAGCCAAGTGCAAAACAGTATAGCAAGTACAAATTGGAAAATCGTGACTCATATGGAGCCCGGATTCATAAGTTATGGTGACCATCCGTCCCATTTTTCCCAGGACAATCCCTTATTTAAGACTTCCTCCTGGCGTCCAGACTTTTAAAAAAAACAGACACATTATCCCATATTTCCCCTGCAGCAGGGAGAGAAGAAGTGGGATAGCAGCTGCCAGGGCTCAGGGCTTCAGCCGCTGAAGCCCTGAGCACCTGCAGCTCCCGTCCCTTCTCCACCCTACATTCTGCAGGGCAGAACTTCTTCCCTGCAGCAGGGCAGGATGGGCGAGAAGCTGCTAGCACTTGGAGCTTCAGGCGCTAGAGCCCCACGCCTTGGCGATTCCTTCCCTGCTTCCCCCACTGTGAGGCTGAAGCCTTGAGCACTAGCGGCTCCTCTCCCACCTCTCCCATTTTGGGGCTAAAGCCCAGAGGGCTGGCAGCTCCCCACCCCCACACTGTGAGGCTGAACCCCTCAAGTGCATGCAGCTCCTGTCCCCCCTGTCCACTGTGGGTCTGAAGCACTGAGTGCTGCCAGCTCTGCCTCCCACCCCTCGCTGTGGGCCTGAAACCATAAGCACCCGCAGCCCCCCAGCTTGGGCCCAAGCCCAGAGCGTCGGCAGCTCCCCCATTAGTGTCCTGTATTTGGCATAGGGAAATATGGTCATCCTATTCATAGTGGATCATAAATTAAATGTGAGTCAGCAGTGTGATTCAAGTCCAAAAAGGCTAATATTGTTCTGTGATGTGTTAACAGAAGTGTTGTACATAAGAGGTGTTCTGTTCTATTCAGAAAGGGTGAGGCCTCTGCTGAGGCACCATACTTCATTAGGGATATGAACAAATTGGAGAGAATCCAGAGGAGAGTGACAGCAACTTTAGGAAACCTGAGATATGAGGACAGGTTAAAAAAAAACTGGGAATGTTTAGTCTTGCGATGAGAACATGTAGAGCTTTAACACAATGACAACTTACATCAGTATAGATTCGATGAATGGGAGGGATACTAACCTTTTCTGGACATCCTAGCCATTCAGTTAATTAAAGTGCCTTTAAAGGTTAAACCTAGGGACAGTGGATTCTAGAGAGTTTCCCAGAAGTGTTGGCAGGGACCCAACAGAGCCAATGAAAACAAAGTGTGTGTGTTTTTTTAATTGAAGAGCAGGACCTTCCTGCTGCAGTCTTTATGTGACCAGAGCCAACCTGGAAGACATGGATTGAGCCAGAAACAAAGCACGGAATTTCCAGCGATATCCATGGCTAGGGAAGGAATAAGCCTTGGGATAAAGATGTGAAAGTAGAACAGGAAGGCTACGTTTACACTGGCGTGATCTTGCACAAAAACTCTTTTGCAGAAGAGTTCTTCTGCAAAAACTCTTCCAGAAGAGAGCGTCTACACTGGCATGTGCTTTTGCGCAAGAGCGTCCGTGCCAGTGTAGACGCTCTCTTGCGCAAGAAAGCTCTGATGGCCATTTTAACCATAGGGCTTTCTTGAGCAAGAAAGTCATGTTGCCTGTCTACACTGGCCTCTTGCGCAAGAACAGTTGCGCAAAAGGGCTTATTCCTGAGCGGGAACGTCAGAGTTCTGGCACAAGAAGCCCTGATTTCATACATTAGAACATCAGTTTACATGCGTAAGAACACACAGCCAGTGTAGACAGGCAGCAAGTTTTTGCGCAAGAGCAGCTGCTTTTGCACAAGATCGTGCCAGTGTCGACACAGCCGGAATGTTTAGTTAGGCGTGATTAGATTATTTTCTTTATTTTGGGGTTTTTTGAACTCTTCTGTGTTAAGCCCATGTGCCACCCCCTCCGCCCCTCTCCCCCCCACACACACATGCACAGTAACTTTTTAACAGAATCCTACGGAAGCAATTCTCTGTGTTTTTAATTTTGCTTTTTTCAATTGCTTGGTAACAACTAGCAACCAAATATGATTTCCCAAGTGTGTCTTCTTTGTTTTGTTAATAAAATCACCTTTTTAAGTCTATGATCTAATTCCTGTGTCCTAGAAAGCAAGAGGTTGTCTGTGCATATGTCTAAAACTGTCAGGTCAGGTATTAAGAATTGCTGTTTGTTTTCAAGTTCTTTCTTGAGGTAGGGCTAAAGAGCTTGAAGGTACCCCAAAGAAAGAAATTCCCCCATGTGCGTCTTCCTAGGTTCTCAAAGTAGGGATGTGAATATGTACCTGTGTACACGGTTAACCAATGAGCCTGGTTCATTTGTTAACCCTCGCGGCTGCATGAACCCCCCCGCCCCCTTGCACTGCTGCCTCTGTATCAGAGGCAATAGAGTTGGGGGGCGGGCACAGACAGGAGCAAGTATGTTCGGGAAGCCAGCTTAAAAGGGAACTCTGCAATTCCCTTTTTACAGTGTCATTTAAGCATCCTGGCATCCAGAAGTGGCTTTTTTGGACTGAGGTCAAAGGTTTAAAATGAATGTGCTGTTCAGTCGAATGAGTTCTCCTGGATTTGGTAGGAAAAAACACCAACAAAATTCCTAATCAGCTTTGTGGCTTCCTACCATTGTACCAGAAATAGATTTTTCCCCAAGAGGTATCTGAATATGTGGTTTAGGGATGTG